AGGGTCAGTGCAATAAGAAGTGGGTGGCCTCTGGAGTTCTGGAGTAAAGGACATACTGAAAAAAGGAATAGCTTCATCTGCAGCTACCTTTGTCTCATTGTACTCCTCTAATTCACTAAAAAATGGTCTCTGATCCTGTACCTGTCTTCTCACATCTAGTGGTGAAAGTACCCATCATCAGTCATCTGGAGTCCCTGAGGGATGAGGAACTGGAAGAGAGGCGAGAAAAACGCAGGAAGCAGCTGGCTGAGGAACAAGCTAAGATAGCTGACGTGACTAAAGAAGAAAAAGAGAATAAGGATCAGAATACACAGGTTACTTAAAGAAATTTAGAATGCAATAGTATCTAATATCATTTCATCCAACTCCATGGGAATTAAAATGGGACGTTAGTTCTTGTGGTCATACAGCAAAGATAGTAGCTGAGGTAAAATTAGTTTACAACTCTTGACTCCATAGTATACTGTAGTTAGAATACATTGGATTTAGCAACAAGGCTTTTGTTCCTCTGTAAACAGTTGAACTCAATTCCATTTTTGTTGTGTCATGAAAAAAATTACTCTGAAATTGAGAGCTAGAATTGATGTGACTAGGCTACACCTCTGGTATTGTACCCTAATGAGTGAGAAGATACAGGGAGAAGAAATGGTTGAGAAGGGTAGATAGGAGTTAGATAGGAAGGGAATAAAAAAGTTAAACCTATATGCATAAGGCAGTAACCATCCCTCTGCCCCACTTGGATATAATTGTGGCACTCCTGCTGTCTTCTGACCCACTGGTTAAATCATATAACTTTAGCAATGTTTTGTCTCACTATACCAGAAAACTTAGACATTAGGTAAGAATCAGTAAGCCTTAAATTTATACTATATATCAAACATTATGTTAGACTTCAAAAATACAAAATTTTACAAGTACAAAGTAAAGCCTGCTTTTTTCTTCAGTAATGACATAAAATATTTATATATTAGTAACGCATCCCAAATCTAAACAAGACCTCTTATTAACCAAATTCAATATTTTCCCTCCACAGGGTACCATATCCAAAACAAATACTACTGAACAGAATCTCTCAGGTAATTATTTCTTTCCTTTTCCAACCTTTCTGATAAAAACTGTTGGTTACCATGTTTTCCCCACCTCTTAGATAACTATGGCCTATATGACCCAAAACTAAAGATGCTCCGTGTTCTGTGGAACAAGATAAATTATATAGTTTTAGGGTATTACCCAATCTTAGAGATAACTATATAGCCTGCTGTGTTTCCCATGGGGCTTCATTTTCCCCAGTGATTAAATTTGCTCGTTATATTGCCCCAAAAGCACTGAAAATATATTCCATAGACCACTCACACTATGGAATTTTTCCAGTCCCTTTCTTGATTGTTTCTATTCTCTGACACTCCACTTTTGGAGTCCCTGATGAAGGTAACAGTGTCCCTTGAAAATCCCTTGAAAACTCTTGATAGCGTGGTCTCTGAAATGACTACTTTAGGGCACCCTACAAAGAAGGCCAGTTGCTTGTTGCACCAACCAAACTTTGTAAGGCCTGTCACCTAGTAGAAGCTTAATAAATGTTGTTTCTCTTTAACTTTTGTTTCACTGTTCATATTTCTTCATTCTGTTAGTGTTTCTTCTGTCTTCATTCAATAGTAACCTCTGTCCTTTTCATAGTGTAGTTATTCACCATTTCAAATTTGCTTTTCTTTGTTAGCTACTCCCTAAAACCTCCTGTCTCCTTTTCCTGATTTTTTGCCACTTAAAGTGGTTGCTGTTTCCTCATGCTGAGCTTTTGGGAAAATTCTTTAGGATCTTGAGAAAAATTTTATTAGAATGTAGGTGCAGTCACTTCAGGGTTACCGCACTAATATTTTGTTTAAAAAATTAAATGAAGCTATTTGTAAACATTAATAGAACACATCATGTTGCTCTTAAGATGCATAATTGCTTATTAAAGAATTCCCCTCTATTTATGTACATAGGTTCCTTTGTTAAGTTGTTCTATAGGGCATAGGTGACCAACATATAATTCTCTTGGGTGTAACCAGGCCCTTTTTAAACTGAATGTGTTTATCAGTGACACGGTCCCCACCAAAGTGTCTATTTAACATAATTCTCATTTTTCTGAGCAAGATAAGACCACTAGGCCTGATATCTACCCAACTACATCTCTGGCAGAAGGCACCTCAGTTAGACCCAAACAGACTCTTGTTACTCTGGAAACTTCTCATCAGCAACCACCTCTGCCTCCCCCACCAGCTATTGGAGAGCTTCCCCAGCAGCTTCATATTCCAAATACACCAGAGTCCTCTTCACAGCTTCTGATGCCTGTGGAGCAAGAAGTCTTAGGTCCCAGAAGATCAGGTGCTGAAACAGAGGCAATTCTAATGGAGTTGTCACCAGCTCCCACGATAAGTAAGTAAAGATTTTTTTTTGGTACATTTTAAAAATTCATTGCAACCTTAAGCACAGCTTATTCCACAAATTTGTTGGATGAAGGAATATTAGAACTAAAATGGACCTTAGAGCTAGGTAAGTGTTTCCATTTTGCATTTGGTCAAGCTAAGGGGCACAAGCTTGCCCAGAGTCATGGAACCTGGCACCAGTTTTGCTACTCCAAGTCAGATGTTTTTTACACTATACCCTTCTGCTTTTGTTGAAGCATAATTTAGGAATTACCCAATCAGGCATATAGTATCTCATCTGTAAGAATGTGTTCAGCAGATAGAATAGGGCTACAAAGCCTGATGTTTGCTAGTAAATGTGACCAATTTGTTGTCTAGCAAGGTTTTTCCTTGGTTTCTGAATTTATATTTTCTGACTTCTTGTGGTTTCCACACAGCCTCATCTCCAGAAAGGGCTGAGGATTCAGATGTTCTAACTGCTGTGAGCAGTCATCTGGAGGGCTCCCCTATGGATACCAGCAGCCTGGCATCCTGCAACCTGGAGGAGGGAGTTGGGGACAGTGCAATATCCAGCAGCATAGAGCCACTTGGGATAGACACCACTGCTCCTGTGGATATTCCTCAGCGTACTACAGAAACACAGGGCAGTGGAGATGGGCCAAGCGAATCCCAGCAACAGACTGAAGACAGGTGAAATATGAAGAATATGATTTGGGGTGCTTTCTTTATTGCAAGGAGGGGTTAAATTTTTAAAGTGGAAGTAGAAGTATTGGTAAGCAAATGATTGAATAAAACTTTTCTTAAGCCCCACAAGAACTAGGAGATTGGGGGGAAAGGAGTGAGAAAATAGCAAGAAATGTACTTGTCTTGCTTAGAAGGGAAAGTAGTTCGAGTATTCCCTTCCTCAAAGTAACTTCCCCTTCATGTTTTTTTCTAGCTCCCCCCCAGCTTCATCCTCTGAAAGATCCTCCACTCGAGATTCTGCTGTAGCCATTTCTGGTGCAGATTCCAGGGATAACCTGGAAGAGCCACTGCCTTCAACAAGCAGTGAGGAAGAAGATCCTCTTGCAGGTGAGAGCTCAGTGATGTCATGTATTTTCAGATGATGTTAGGGAGTGTCCAGAGTTGGCAGTGAATAAGGTGAACAAGGAGGACAATGGGAACTTTTATAAAAGGCCTTTTCTGGGCTTTGGGTGAGAGGCACATTCTGTTAATTTATGCTTAACAGCAAAATAATAACCTTTGGGTAGTTATCAGGCTTTGGTCCTATCTTGCTGATACTCTATAGTCATAATCACTACCTTCTAGAA